CCCAAATTAACTTATCTCCACGAAGAAAGCGCCGTCAAAATTACTTACACAAACCCCCTCCCAAAATAGATTATAGGACAAAGGACCTACTTTGATAATTATGATATTATTATTTTTAGATAATTTAAGTTAATTATTTTGATTTAAACTATTTAAATAGGGGAGCAACATGTGCAATTTTTTTCTTTTTTTTTCAGCAATTTTTCCCGCTCAATATGCACCAGATTGACTCATCAATATCCAGTATTATCTGAACCAAACGGTGTTTGAACACTTTGTTGCTATACGCGAATGTAATAATGAAATACCATCTACTCTCTAATATAAGGAATCAGTTGATTAATTTGAGAAAATTAAATAATTCAAAAATTACTTAATTATAGTATATCAGTTAAATATAATATTAAAAAATATTTATATATTATTAGATTACATATCAGTTTATATGCAATATAAATTAATTTGTACAAAAATAATAAATATAATTTTTAAAGCAATTTATTTTGCTTTTTTAATTTTTCTAAATTAGTCAATCAGATATTATAATTTAAGAATAACTATAAGTTTTAAGATAAGAATAACAACTTTTTTTTTTCAAGAGAATGACGAATAGACTTCATAAGTTAACAACTCAATCGTAGGAAAAAAACTGAAACTAAATATCAAGCATGCCATAAGAAATAACAACTTTTGCCTTCAAATATTGACAGTTACAAGTTAGAAATTGGCAATTACTTTTCACAAAATTAATTCAAGATTTGAGTGATTGAGTCGGTGATTATTTGCGAATAACGAACAACCATATAGCCATCATATAATACTTCTCAAAATCAAAGTTCATCAATGAAGAGATAATATCACTATTTTGGTTCAATAAGATACTAAAGTGAATGATTCACTCATTCCATACTCTTTTGATAACGCAGGTTCCTATTTTCAATGATATCTCATGATTAAGACAATTGGTTGCATCCCAAGAAATTGACTATAAGTTAAAAGTTAACAACTACTTTTTACAGAATTAATTACAAGGTTTAAGAAAGAATGAATGTAAATTTCAATTAAGAGAGGCAGAGATAATCTTCGTTTTTTTAACAAAAAAAACGTTGATTTTATTTATAAGACGACAAATAAAAATAATCAAATAATTGCATTCTTAAAAAAAAGACGGATCACTTATGTAACTCTTGATAAAAATATAGTAATAATTGATAATTAAATAATTCAAGATAAATAAAACATTCAAATTATTGGCCAAATTTATTAACTCTTACATTTTATCTTTATTAAAATTTTATAATCCCATTTTTCCAATTACATCCGTTAAAGGGAAGTTGAGGTTCCTGTAAGAACCAACCAAAAAGTATCTACAGTAGAGTTATAGGCATTTAATAGTTTTTTTTTTGGCTTAATATCACCTCAAATTAAAAGTGATAAAAACAAAAGAGTAATGTCACCTTAATGGTTAAAAAACTAATATTATTGGCTTAAAAACTAATATTGACTGTTAATAGCTTATAACAGTCAAAGCAACATTATTTCTTTCTTTAATATTTTTAGAGTAATATTGAATCAAGAAAAACTTTCAAATACTTATAGCCACTCCACAAATATTTAGATTTTAGGGCAAAATATAACCATTAACCTTTTAAATTTATTTTCCTCAATCATTTCGCTTTTGAGAATATGGAGTCAAATTTTCCACAAACAATATAAAAGATGGACCTTGTAGTATTATTTTGGGTGGCGCAATTTAATTTGGGCCTTATGAATCTTTTAGGTTACACACGAATTATTGGGCCTCATCTAAATTTTGCAGATGCGTCTAGTCTTATTTTAAAATAGTTGTCAATATGAAACAAATAAAATAACTATTTTACATACAAGTATCTTCTTATTGGAGGGCGGCCAATCCTATTTTAGGTATACTCCCTCCCCCTTTCAATTGAGTATTATTTGTTGCTGGGGTAAGGTGGGGAGAGGAATATATTTTGCACCAAGAAAAGAAAAAAGATGGACGATGAAATATTATTGTGCGCCCTGTACCAAAAGTTTCTACTGGGCTTCAAAAAATGATTAGGCCTGAACAGATTAGTTGGGCTTTGCCCATTAATCATTTCAGAACAAACGCATGAAAGTTTTTATAGCGGGGATGATATATACACTTTTAAAGCTTAGAACCTGGAATCATTTTCAATTGTTTATTTGCTCCTTTTGCTATCCCTCCATTATTGTACTCGACCTTGCTTTTGCCAGCCGGATTATACCATTAATGAACTAACAGAGTTCGAATAATCTCCTCTCAAGAATTTAATATAAGGTCATAAAGTGACCATACTATAAAGTATCACTCAATATTAAAATGTGATAGTTACAATGCTGATACTTTGCATTATACACCGCATTTAAATGACTAAAAACAAAAGTATTGTATTGCTCAGTTGGTGGATGTGATGACTTCATTTTAGATGACACAGCAAAACATCTCTCTGCAATTATGTAAATGATTTCTGATGACTTTGCAATTTTTCCATACTCAATGGAGTCAACCAGTCCAAGTTGATCCTATCATTGGATGGGATAGGGGGTAAATTATATTATTGATTTTTTTAGTTTTGCTAAAATTATAAAGAGTTTTATTCGTTTCAAAACTTATATTTGAGTTCACAAAGGTTAATTTTAAGATTTAAGCAAGAATGCAAATTTTCAATTACGATCTTCATTTTCTAACAGAAGAACCATCATTTTGTTTATAAGATGGCAACTAAAAATAGTCAAATAATTGTATTTTGGTAAAAAATAAATACAGATCACATAAAGTTATTTAACTCTTGAGGAGAGTATTCTTGAGCACGACTCAAACAGTATATTATTGTTGTTTTTGCAGGGGTTGCCAACATATTATTGCGATTGTTTTCGGTAGTTCCGGACTCTGTCAAATTTCTTCTTGCATCGGCTTTACATGTTTATAGCTCCACTCACAATGTATTCTTTTGCAGGTTCCTGTGACATTTATATATTTTTCGGTTCTATTTGGCTGATCTCGGCTTTAAGAAGTTTCTCACTTCTGCTACATATCAGTCATGGGATCCATAACCAGTTGGCCATTTATATAAAGACACACCCGATTGGTCTTGGTCCTTTATAAGGAAGAGAGATTTTCTTTTTTTTAAAATCATATTTGTAGCCGATTTCACTCAATCGGATTTGCTCCCAAGCAATCCAATTCCTCCATTTTACTTCTGTTGCTTCTTTTAATTGCAGCGTCGGGATTATCAGTTGTCGCTGCCTCTCATTAAATTCTATTTTGAATTCAAACTTGTCCTGAATTCCTTTAGTGCAGAAGCCACACAGTTTTAAGTTGTCTGACCTCATGACCAACTTGCTGAGAAAGTTCAAGTAGACGTACAGGCAAGTTCTTCTTAGTGAGCAGCAACCTGATCAGTGAAAATTATGAAATTAAAGTCCATGATGTATCGTTAATTAATCCAAAAGTTGTAATCTTGTGAGTTGAAGCAACTGGATTGAAGATCTGAGAGAGAGGATAAGACCCAATACATTCGGGGAGTTGGTGGATAAAGCACTTGAGAATGGAAGTTCAAGAGCAGACTCATATATAAGTTACTTGATGGATCATTAACCAACCTTTTTTTCCCCAAATATTATCCCTATTACAATTTATTAGGAAAAAAAACTTCAAGTCTAAAATAATGTTTTTCAATACTCTTAGATAAAGATAAAATTACAACAACAACAAAAAGTTTCTTTCCAGGCGAAAGCAATGGGTCAGCCACCTTATCTAATTCGCGGATGTGGCTTATAATAGGGATGAAGATCATAATGTCATGTTTATTGGGAGTGGATATTTAAAATAAAAAATCTCATGAAAAGAAGTTTGAAATTACTAAATATCTCAAATCAGGTTTTGTAACAATACTTTAATAAGTTTTGACAATACTAGAGTTGCAAATAACAACACATTTATGTAAAAAAAAATTCTTTAAAATTAATATTTAGTTATTTCAAACTTGTTTTTTGTAAGATTCTCTCAATTTAAAAGTAAAAGACATGAATGTTATCAAAAAATGTAAAAGGCATGGATGCATATAAATGTAACCAACAAGTAGTTAGTTTGTTCTTTTCAACGCAGTTGCAGACAGTGAATTATTGTTGAGGGGCCTAATATCCATGTGATAAAATCTAATAGGCGGACATAAAGAAAGCAATAAATATTTAGAATAATGAGCACAGTACTTTTGCAAGTTGCAACCCAATGTGGCTGCATTAATGTTATTAGAATTTGCCTTAGAATTTATGCAAACCAGAATAATTCCCCTTTGCACGTTGTTATTTTTAAATTTTTAAAAGATAAAATATATCATGAGAAGTAGAAAACAGATAAATGTATATAACACGTCACAAGATGTTCTCCATTCAACACAATCACGGCCACGTTAAACTTCAAATAAACAGACAAAAGTAAAGCACAAATGAATGAATGATGCTAATTTCAAATACGATTTTTATCATGGCCTTTCCCCATCGGTCTGATCAAATCGCTTCTAAGTTGCATCTACCTATTGTGAAGGAAACACTAAATCCAAAATTTATTCATCCATCTAAAAACCTTGCACTGAGATGAGCAATTGAGATTAATATCTCTCACGGTTTTCCGGCAAAATTCTTTCACTGAGACGTTCAGACAAGTTCGTTATATTCCATCAGCAAAAACATTTTTCCCCCAACTTATGGTTCACTTTTGCTTTGACTAATTCATATTTGAAATAGCAAGGCGGTATGATGTTACAAGCTTCCCGTTGCAGAGTTTTACAAATAAAGTGGAGTTTATAAGCTTACAAACTATCCCATTAAACTTTCATCCATAACATTGATACTTTTAACGAAAGATCCATCATGCTTCTGGAGAGATAGTGATAGAGGTGAATCTGAAAATATTACATCATTGACTTGGCTAATTAAAACAAAAGGAACACGGGTACTTAGACGTCATTTTTATTCAACGCCAGCATCCAAGTGGACATAATGAGTTCCCCACATGCTCTTCTAAATCTCACTGGGTCACGTACCGCATAAACGGTCTGCGTAATAGTGAGAGCAAGCACAATTGCACCGACAATAACTCCGACGATCTTCCATGGAGTGCCCAAATAGATATCTACGAAAGTGCGAAGCCAGGTCATTAATCCATGTTGAAGCCATTCCAGAAAACGCCGCCAATAATGCCACGGCATTCTGAACATGAGCGCACAACATCCTGCCATTCCATTCCACTCCGCTGCGTTCAATCCCTGACATACTGTCCCGTATCTCCCATCCCTTTGTTCCGCCCCGGTTGTGATGGTTTGGAACATTTTCACCAAATCCTCGTCCTTGATGGCCTCGTTATCCACTTTTATGACTCCTTCCTGTTTAAGCAGTTTGAGGTCATGAACAGAGCAGACCAAACCTTTGAAAAAATAAGCGTAGGAGGTGAATTTGTAGCCGACTTCAGGCAACCCGATTTGCTCCCAAGCAATCAAATTCCTCCATTTTACTTGTGTTCTTTCTTTTATGTGCAGCGGCGGGATTGTCAGTTCTCTCTCCTCCTTATTAAATTCTATTTTGAATTCGAACTTGTCCACGAATTTCCTTAGCACAGAAGCCGCAGTTTCCTCCGACTGGTCATCGCCTGCAAGGTTGCAAATTTAATTTGGTGAGGAGATGGCTCACTTTTAAAGATGAAATACTGGTTCACTGATAACTCAAATACTAGTAGTATGGTAGTAATAAGGTTAAATTACTTTAACAACATATTACCTTGAGCATCGTTAGTTTGTGTAGCCTTAGCCTTAATTGTGATGCCCAAAGCTTGGAGCTTTCTAGCGCAGCGCTGCAGTTTTAGTGGATCTTTCCCGCCTTGCTCTTCCCTATAGGGATCAGGGGAGCACAAATGGATGAGATGAAGGAAATGATAAACACCTTCGGGGAAGTCATCGTTGCATTCAAAGAGTGACTGGGCGGTATTTTTTGGAGAAAGTTTGACCTTATGGCCAACTTGTTGCTGAGAAGGTGCACATAGACTGGCAAGCTTTGGTTGCTCAGCAGCATCCAGAAGTTCGAAAAGTATTGAGGACAAAGTTGTGAGAACGACAAAAGGGATTTGGTTCTCGAGCAGCGTGAGATCTGTGAGAACTTGTAACACATATTTCTGGTCAACACGTTCCTCATGCTTAGTAAGCCTAAGCAGAAACTCTAAGAGGTAGCAGCCATCCAATAACATCATCCTGGCAAACTCCTCTTCTCCCATTTCTATTTTCTCCCCATAGCTCGCTCGAATTATGCTCCCTATCTCTTTAATGGCCTTACTGCACTTGTGCAAGGTCGACGAATTGTTCTGCGTTGGACCCGCAAGAAGAGAGTGCATGAACTGCCATTTGGTCAATTCATTGATTTGCAGGTCGCTGCGGGTGCCCCTGTGGAAGGGTCCCATGGCCACGAGCTTAGGCCTGTAACTGTACCCTTTGCCTTCGGCTCGTCGAATTTTCTCTGGAACTCTGCAAATGCTGCCTGTCTTTACTTCATCGTCATGTACGCATCCCAGCGCCGTCTCAATATCAGCGATCCATTTATCATCGGGATCATGAACATCTTTATACTGTGTTCCTGCCCCTGGCATTAGGCCTTACAAACAACATTATTAAGTTAAAAAGTGAAAGAAAATAGAAAGAATGAAATAGTGGGAAATCAATTACAAAGATCCATTCATCACCTACTTGATTTCGGCGGCTTCGCCAAAGTGGTCGGATCTGATCTGCCCTTGTGAGCCTCATATCGCCTCCTTTATTTATAACCACACTTGGACTCACCCCACCAGGTTAAAAATAAAAACAAAAACAATACTCATAAAATACAAAGACACATCGAATCGAATAAGAAATTTTAAATTTCAAACTATACTATATTATATCTAAAAATCAAGATATCATTTTAACGTTTTTAATGAATAACTTTCTAAAATATTATTTATTCCTATTTCAAGTTATATATAATTTTTAAATTATTATAACATTAAAAAGTTATAATTTAAACATCTAGTTAAGTCTAGCAAAAAGAAAAAGAGAGCAACTAAATCTTACAATATTCAATATACCACATGTGGGTGGAAGATGTGTTGAGTTATACCTATCTCACACTTCTAAATTAGAGTATAAATCAAATAAAAGTAGGGCTATTATGTGAATAAAAGAAGGGTCCAGAAAGATAATTTTATTTTTATGATTCAAATCTATATAACCAGAGGCCCTTAGCAGTGGGATATGAGTTAAGATACAATTTTTCATATGTAAGTGCAGGATGCTCTCTCGACTCTCGCCCTCAAAGTTTGCTTCTCTCTCTTCAGTGTTATTTGCAGAGTTGCGCTATCGAAGTCCAAATCGATGCTCCAGTCTCGTGTGGGCAAGACCATGTGGAGGGTTTCCAGGTACGCCCGAAATCCTTTATTTGATGTTGAGATCGAGATGACTACGAGCTCTTCTGAAAGTTTGAAAAAACCGTCAGGTTATGACGAAGAGAAAAAGGGGAGAAAGGGGTACAAGGATTATTATAACGAGAAAATGCGTAAAAAGCTGGAGAACCCGATGGGAACATGGGAAAAAGAACCATCTCCAACACCCGATATAGAAATTATTGCAGTGAAGATCCAGCTCGCCAAGAAACAGGCTGAGAAGGCCGCAAAGTTGTTGTCTGAAGCGGAGCAACTACTCCCTGAGGACCTACTCTAATTTGCTGCAGCTCGCATATATGTGATATGCTTAGGTTTTATCTCAGTGTTTCAATAAGGCTCCAGCCAGTAGTCTTATTTCCTTTTAGCGTCCTTTTGTTCTATCTTCTGGTGTGTATATGTATGTGTAAGATGTTTCTCCCTTCTGCTAATGAATAAGAGGGCTCTGTTGGGTTAACCATAGAGAAAGCCTGTTGTTTATATTTCTACATGCATGCGTATGTTGATTTGATCAAGCTAGCTAATTGATCTATGAGGTTGCGGAGTTTTCTTATCTGATTTAATGCGTCAATTCTCTTCTCCAAAACCAAAAGTGCTTGCAATTGGGATTTTTCTCTTTCCTTCCCTTTCCTTCTTTCAAAATATATTCTTAATTGGCACCAAAATGCGAACTTTAATTTGCGAGGTGTTGCCTTTTTTATTAAGTTTATACTCTCTCTCCGATCCCTTAAATAGTGTTCTTTTAGAACGAATTAGCGGTGAATACCATTATTTTTATATTTTGAATTAGTAACAACCAGTGATGCGTCTGGACTCCCCCCCCCCCCCAAAAAAAAAAGCATGACGTCCTTTTAGTAATCACATGAGAAAACTAGCTCCTCCAGTCCAAATCTCCACGATGTTGGCACCAGTGTGTTCAAATGAGACGTGATGCAGAGTTGACCCCAAAAAGAAGGTCGGAGGAGAAATCAACTTTAATTACCTTTTGGCACCACAATTTTTTTGAATAGATAATTGAAGAAATTAACCTAATATTTGGTATAAGAAAAATAAAGAGAAAGAAAGTGGAGAAAAAATTTTATGAGATGGATCTAAAAAGTTCAAGAAATGGAGTTTTAAAATTTTAATAAAGAGAATATGTAAGATAAATGAATCATAAAAATTAATTAAACACTTTTAGTTTCATTTTTTAAATTTTTAAATTGAGCTAATTAAATTCGGGAGAATTACAATGAGGTATAAAGAAGAAAATGAATTAAGTTCATACTCTCTCTTTCTCTGATCCCTTACTTAGTGTTCTTTTAGGAAGAATTAACGGTGAATACCATTATTTTTATATTGTGAATTAGTGATGCAGAGTTTTTTTCCCCACTTTTAATACAACAGACGTGAAAGCAAATGCATTACTAGACTAACGTAATGTTTGGTTGGGAGTTTTACGAGTGGAGGGGAGGCCGAGGTGGGTGAACCTTGTTTAGTTCAATAAATTAGAGGCAAGGGGAAGAAACTTTTTTTGTCTTTTTCTGCTCCCTTTCCCTCCTCTTTTTTTTTTTTTTAAAGTGGGGTTTTTTTTGGAGGGAAGAGAATTTATTTGTTCTCACTTACCCACGTTACCTACACTATTGTTTTGATATTCCAAGTCTATCCTTAGCAATTTCAACCTGCTCTTGATTATGATACTTAGTATTATTATTATATATGTTATAATACAATTATAAAATATACTTATACATACAAGTATAACTATAATTTATATATGTTTTTGCCAACAACTATAATTTATATATATCAAGTATTAATTAAATTCCATTTATCATTATACTTTATTAAGTATTTTACAAAATTTTAAAAAATAACTTAAGATAACTTAAGAATAAAATTGTCCACATAAAAATTTCTCCCCTCCATCTCCTTCCCTATAATAAAATCTCTTTCCTCCCTTTTCTTCTCTTCCCTTTTATTAAAATCCCTCCCTATGTCTTTCCTTCCTTGAACCAAATCAGAGGAGAGGAGGGAAGATATTTTAAGAGAAATTTTAGTATTATTTGTTTGGATTAAGAAAAATAGGGTAAATATGAGAGATTTTAATATTATATTATTTAGCAGCTCAAAAAAACAATATTATATTATTTAGTTTAGGAGGAGAAGTAAACCAAAATATTTTAATTGCTCTCATTTAAGAAAAATTTCGGTTAGCGCCCTCTGAACAAACTTAATTTTCAATTCGGAAGGGCGGAACTTCATCATATATACCCCCTTGACTAAAATAGAATTACATATTATGATTGAAAAGACAATTATATCCTTATGTCATTTTTTTTAAAAAAAAAAGATCAACTGCTATCGGAGTGCTGGTTAAACCTTCAAATGGTTCAGTTTCTTTTCAATTTAGAGTTTTAGTTTTTTAAAAAAATTATAAAAAGATTAAAAATTGAGCCGTGTTTTATGCATGAGATATCAAAATACTACCTCTGGTCCTAATTATAAGACCCAGTTGACTAATTTGAAGAGATTAAGGAAAGAAGTTAAGTTAGTTATTTGTAATAAATAGGTGTTTTCTTTCCTAAAATATCCTTACTAATCAACTATATTGGCTAGGACTACAATTATTAGAGGGATTATCTTGGAAAAAAATACATAAATATGAAAGACAAAGTGGATTGGGGTCTTATAATTAGGACCAAAATAAAAATCAAACAGGATTTTATATTAAGGACCGGAAGTAGTATTACTTATGTAAAATTTAATCACAGAAGAAAAAAATACTGAGAAACCAAAAAATGAGGCAACTGGAGGGGCACCGCTGGCAACCCCTATCCATAGAGTCCATCCAATAGAGTGTATGTTTGGCGCAGCGATACAGTAGGCAAAAGTAACTTATGTGATCATGCGTTTGATCTCCTGGGGGCATTTTGTAAGTTAATATCAAATTTGCCCTCCTCCTCTTCTCACTCATACATTGGTTTTTTTTTTTTCAAAATTTTTAATAATACAATGTTCTAAAAAATTATTATATTATAAATAAATTTATATTCTATTAAATGAAAATAATTTTTGACATATTTTTTTATAAGATTTTTATTTTAAATATTATTTTTTTTATTTATATATGTGTAGGGTATATCTGATTATGCGATATTATTTGGTTCAAAAATTCTTGCGTTACCATGATTTCTTTTTTAAATATATTTGATTTATTACATTTAACTTCTTTCTATTAAAATAATTTAAAATTATTATATTTTGTAAATTCATATTAGTTATCATTTTTTTTATTGAAATATTAGTTATCATTTTTCATTAGTTAATAAAAGTCATACATATTTTGATCATTTTACAAACTAAACTCACTTATTTAATTACAATCCAAATAATTTTTGCTTTTACAAACTAACTTTTATAAAAGCCAATCCAAATATAAATCATATTACCCAACCTAACTTTTATCTAATTTAACTTTTTTAAAAATCAAATTGAGAATTAGACAGTGTTAAATTAGAGGATGAATAGGAATCTTCAAAAAACATGTTGACATGGAGATTAACAAAAATCAAGAAGTGATATTGCTTACATAGAGATTTTTAAGAATTTAGGTGCTTAAGACTTAAGAGATACTAGTATGATTGTAACATGTTGATTTGTTGATACTCTAATTTAATTTGTTCTACTGCCTCGTCAATTAAGTTTAATTGTCTGCAATTATCTGTCCTGCAAGTTTACATTGAGAAGATGTCAGTGCTGTAGTATGATCTGGGTGGCACAGACTAATTCTATGTCTATATGTTGATGGCACAATGTTCTTTGAAATATGGGGCCAGCCTCTTAAAAACAATTAGGCAAAATTTATTGACTAGAAAAATTAATTGTGTAAAGATACTTAAGAACCCAGGTTTTTTGGCAATGCACAGCTTATCTTCAGAGGCTGTAACTCTTTTTAATTGTATGCAAGTGTCTTTCATTTTGTACATATCTCAAAAAGAATTACACTCACTGAAAATAAGTTGGCCATAGGTCTTTAAACAAACTTGAAATAATTTTATAAAAATTAATTTTTGGTCAGGAACTTTTGAGAGTTTTCTCATATCTATCATCTTTGTTGCGTTGGGGTGGATATTTAAAAGTGAAAGACACGAATGCATAGAAATGGTGCCGACAAATTAAAGTAGTTAGCTTTT